ACTACAGATTTCACGGAACTCCTTCACTGCACAGTGTTCCGAGATATTTATCAATATCGGTGCAAAGTTTTGAAAGTTATAGAAAACACAAAGCATTATCAGTCACTGGAAGAGCTTTTTCTTATTTGCTTTTTGAACTTTCCATGTTGTTTCAACTTTGCCTATTTCTTTGCTTGTTTTTAAGAAGGCATTTTATGATGCCATGCAAGAGACACTAGAAAGGGATAGCTGACAAGGAAAAAATTAAAAATTGGATAAAAAGTAAATGAATAATGTCATATTACCAAAAAGATGAGAGGCTAATTTGTGCCGACTTTTTGCTAATTTTGTTCAAGCCTCAAAATGAGGAGCTGTCACCCGTTCTGTGTAGCACTGATGACAGTGCCAATGATCCATGAAATAAGCTGCCGCTGGCTTTGTTCTGATAAGAATGAACAAATCTGCACAATGTTCGGCTCCCAGAATCTCATTTTCATACTTGCATGCAGGCTAAAAGAAATAAGCTGTTTGCAGGCTTGATTAATCAGACATTGGAGGGGTTTTTGTCTCTTTGATCTCTTTCGTCTCCTAGGTAACTTGCTTGACATTAATGTTGAGCTTGAGTAAAGACAATCAGGAATTGTCGACCAAACTGATATAAAAATTAAAGACCTTAACACTTTAAGTACTCCAGTAATGGTTCCGCTTTACTTCAGAAAACATCTGTTTTCATTTAATTAAAGAACAAAAGAGAAAGGCATAAATATTTTTCATAGAGACCTATTATTCCATAAAAAGTTAAAGTATGATAATTGGTATTTTTAAGTAAGTGCCCTGAAAGTGTTCAAAAGGAGGAAAACTTCATAAATCTGCTACAAGCTAGTAATTTTGAGATGAGTAAAATATTTTATGAAATGGATAAGAAGTTTACAGTTACGCTAGATTAAGCTGTTTGAATCAGATGCTTCAGATGATTATCAGCAAACTTTAGAATGGCAGAGGTTTAGCAAGAAAAACCAACTTTATTTTGGAAGTTTGTCTTTTAAAAATCTCTACTGTGTTACAAGATGCGCCATTATATCTCTTTTACAGCCCAATATGATTTACACACGCGAAACCTGTAAAATTGAAAGGAATTAAAAAAATGTCGCCGTGCATTTGCTTGAGGTTATGCAGACGCTTTTACAAATCTTCCAAGTGGCTGTAAAGATGAATGCCCCAAGGGTCCAGCCAGGGCCCTGCTTTTCCAACCAGCTAAAGCCCTTATCTTAAATCCAAGCAAAGTACCATTAATCTTTTTGAAAGACCTTTTATGGCTTTTAATATATCCCAAATTAGAACATTTTACACCCTTGGTTCCTGAAATATGGTGATAAAAAGCCTTTAGAGCTTAATTTTCCTTACCGCTTGCTCTGACCAATTTGCAGTTCTTTGTGATAATGTTTAGACACCTTAATTAAAATGCAGCAAAATATTGGATGTTCTATATGGAAAATGCTGATACTTTGGCTACACATACAAGAAATTCTGTATATATTTTTATTCATTTAAAAAATTTTCTTTCCACATTGTGTTGCTATAGTTATCTGATGACCCAAAACATTCTTTTTTTAATATAAAAACTATTGACCAAGCTTTTGTGATGTTTACTTTGGGCGTGAGGATGCATTTTTCTTTTTACAGGAGTGAAAGGGGGATTCTCATTGGCCTACATGATTTGTAATACTGAAACATGGCACGATATTCTTTTATCTTCAGGAACTCGGCTTCGTCATCTTGTCTGGGAGAATGAGTTTCTTCTCAACTGTCTCTTCATAGAAGATCTTATTATCCTTTCGTATTTCCAAATGTTTCCGTTCTTTTTTCCTTTCTCCACAGGAATAAATGAGACACATTTTAAGCATGTGAAGGACACAGAATTGATATGACTTTCCATCATCATTACAAGCTAAAAGAGTCTTTCTGTAAACACATAGTCCAGGCTTGTTGAATGTTTATCAGTTGAAGAACATTCCATTTAACCCAACCCACGGCAAAATGCAGTTTGAATATACACCTTTTACATGAAGAGGTCTGTTTGAAAGTATTGCCTACGGACCCAGTCATTTATTGTATGTACTTAGTCCACAGAAATGATGGAGCCCTCTCATGTAAATACGTGTTTCATGCACTTTAATGAATTATTTTTAACAAATTCATACCATGTCTTAGGGAACGTATGCTGTGACTTTTGACTGGGAAGCTGAACGTGCTGGCTTGGCCGTAACATTGCCAGAAAGTGAAAAGCTTTTACATTATTAGAGTGTATGACCATGTTGAGATGAAGAATCTCATTTAAGTAAAACACACTAAGATACTCTTTGGTTTATCAATCCCCAGTCCAGAAAACCCATGTTGGGAAATCTCAGTAAGTTAAACATGTAAGCTGCATCTTAATTCACAGCGATTCTAGGAAATAATGTTTTCATATGGTTGACGGTACATGGTGGATACGGTTGGGACCATTTTTGTTTTATCATCCAAGTGTAGGCTCAATTTAAATAGAAGGTGAACTAGCTGAATGGGACTTCGGGTTGGGAAGGGCATTTGGCAAAACCGTATCATATATCAGATTTGCATTTGGTAAATAATACATAGGAATATAGTTAAATGGAAAACACAGGGTTCTGCGTTTTTACCTTTTGGAGGGTGAGGCGCAGGGAAGATACTGATATCCTACTTGAGTGTGGAGAGATGGAGCACACGTATTAGCTCAGCTCAGGTAGCAAGCCGTGTTCTAGGACAGTGGACAGTTTACCATGTGCATTCGCTGCCCCTGCTCGCCCACAGTGCCCCATGACCCCGGCTGCCTGGCTTTAGGTGGAACTGTATGAGCAGTCATGACCGGAGGACTGTGGGCAGAAATGACATGTGTCACTTCTGGGCTAAAGCATGTAAGGTCCTGTGCGAGCCCCGCCAGCCACCTCTCCCTGTGCCGCAGCGAACCTGAAAGTCACACACTGAGATGCTGGTGCCACAAGATGGAGAGCCCAGCCACGCCCCAGCCGACTGGAAGTGAAACAGGAAATCACAGGGCAGCCAGAGGGATTTGTGAATTTGTCTGACAAGCACAGTCTCTGCTGGCCTGACGTGACAGGTGCTGACCTGAGTTTCGTGTTTATGACAGATGGACAGTTTTTCAGTGGAATCCATCGTAATGATCAATTAGCCGCAGCATCCGTCCCGTTTCATTTTCCCTTTAGATGATGCTACTATAGCCCTTTCTTAGCCCTTGTTTAGTTGATGTATCTGAACTTTTCTGTGGTGAACAACTGGACACAAAAAGACAACCAAGAGAAGGCCCATATTGAAACAGTCCATGTAACTGGTGACCCCTTCTTCCCAACCCCAAGTGTGAAAGTGAGCCTGGTTTTGTTCAGTGCTGTATCCCCGGTGCCTAGAACGACGCCTGGCAAAACCATGCACTTGTGCCCTCATGAGATTTGTTGAGTGAATGTTTTCCGGTGAAAAAAGGTAATGAAGATAGAAGTGCTGCTCATATGGGTTTGAGTTTTGAGACCCTGAGGTTGGTCTGCTTTCTCAGGTGGGCCTTTAAGTAACAACTGATCATTCTTTCATCGGAGCCTTTGCTCTTGGTGTTGACCAGTTCAGCACTCTGGCTGGATTGTTGGATTGCTTCCATTCTTCACGTATTTTCTTACCTGGACTGGAAAATCAAATCACCGTATGCTCTCATTTATAGACCCCAGGCAGTGCTTGATTCCTCCATGTTCGTTTCATCCTAAAGGAAACTCTTCTCCAAAATTAAGCTAAAAGAAATGTCAGGCATGTCAAACCTCATCTTCCTAAGTCAGCTTCTCATGCATGTGGTCTTAACCACCTATGAAGCCTCACTGTTGGCCTCCAGATCCCTAAAGCTCGGGCTTTAGCACATTGACTTGACAGTGGCTTCCGGGTCCCTTCTTCTCTTCCACAAGTCTCTTGTCCCATAGTGTTCATTAGGGCGAGCCCAGGAAAGAAAGGGAAAGAAACACCAGAAGGAGACAGCCTTCGTTGTTCAACCTGGGTTCTTAACAGATATTTTTGAGCTATCCATGTAGGCAGGTATTTTTTAAAATCAGAGCCACCAGAACTGGAAGATCACCATACTGTCCTGGAGACTCTCTGGGCAACAGTCCCGCAGCCAGAGAGCTGTGCAGAGCTGAGCGTGGTAACTGAAGAGGACGACATAGAGGCTGAAGGGCTGGAGAGATACAGAGACAAAGACTGGTTTAGGCTGACTTAGAGGAAACTGGGATGGGGGTAGGGTGGGTAGGAGGCTTTGTTTCAGTGGGACCCGACCGGACGGACCGGACCGGACCGGGGCGGGTAGGTGTCGGGCGGGGCAGGACTAGCAGGGCCTGCAGAGGGAACACTTAGGTCCTGCGGTCCGCGCGCCCAGCCTTTTCACCTCTCAGCATCCCTTATATTCTCGTCTCTATGAGTGAATTAAAAGCTGTTGCCCATCATGCAAAGTGCGTTTATGAAGCAGTAATTAGCTTTCCCATGTTTTATTAATCACATCTATGACTGCCAATCAGAGCTGCTGATCAGCACGAGATAGCTGATGTGACCATACTGAGTTGCTATAATTCTAGCCCAGAGCAAAGAAACTTGATGTCTCTGTCAGTCTGCGCAGCCTTATCAGGGGTAAATTCCTGTTTGGCCTACTGAAATGCTGGAACAGCTTGGAGATCTTCATCATATCCTTGTGGGCCCTCGAGGGGCTCTGTTTGGGGAGGATTTCCATCCAGGAGACTGGCACACCAGGGTCTAGGGCCTGTGGGAGGTAAGGGAAATATGGGCCACACCAAGCGCTTTTGTTTGCTTTGCTTGTTCACGGGGGCCTGAGCATAAGAATTTCTAATTTTGTAGGTATGGTGGTCTTATGCGCAAGTCTCAAGTATTTGTATTCCTGTAATTCTTGTATCAGCTGGAATATTTATTTTCATTTCTTTTTTTGGTTCTCTCCTTTATAATAGCTTGGTGTGAAAATTGCTAAAGCGGTTGCCTGCCACAACTTTGTAAAAGCCAAAAAGGATGCTGAAAACTCACAGGTTGCTCGAAAAAAGAAGAAACTTGCATGGGGGTGAGTTTAAAATTTTTAGCAGGAAGTATAATAACTTCACAGGAATTACAGAAATCCTGGGATCTGTTGTATGAGTCCAGTGTGTGTGTGACTCTTCGCTCACTTTAGTCCTTGTATCTGCTGCGTGTTTATCAGATTATAAATACGGGGGCATTTCTCCATCCCTTTTCGTGTTTATTTTGTCATCAGTGGAGCATGTGAAAATATTTCAAGTCTATTTTACTTTGGCAGTTAGTTAGCGTGTGTAGGAAAGTGTTTAGAAATACATGGAGATTTTTTTGGGGTGACCGGGTGGCTTAGTCGGTTAAGCGTCCGACTTTTGCTCAGGTCATGATCTCACGGTTCATGGGTTTGAGCCCCGCGTCGGGCTCTGTGCTGACTGCCAGCTCAGAGCCTGGAGCCTGTATCAGAGTCTGTGACTCCCTCTCTCTCTGACCCTCCCCTGCTCATGCTCTCTCTCTCTCTCTCCTAGAAATAAATAAAACATTAAAAAAAAAAAAAAAGGAAATACATTGAGATTTTTATGTTCTTTATTTTAGGTTTGAAGCAAAGAAGAGATGGGAGACCAAGAGCAACATGGGATATATGTAGCTTGCCAGTGCTCCTCAAGGCGTGGGAGTCTTCACTTGGGCTTTTCCTTGAGTCTTCAGCTGCTCAATTGACTAGGAAGATATTCCTGCATATGTTAACTGTGTCAGGAAACTGCTAGCAGTTGGAAGAATAAGCATAAAATGTGGGATTTGATTATTAAATCTTTTTAGTCTTTTTTAGAGAATTCATTCTGTTGACATGAATGAGGTGGAGCATTCTGTTACTCAAACACGAAATCAAAGTACATATACCAGGATTTTATTAATTAATTTATTTCTGTGACCCTCCGGTATAAAATCAGTTTTACTTTTCATCTGTTTGGTGAAACAGTGAGCTCCTCGTACTTCCTCATCTGTACCCAGTGCACCTGAACTTCCTCTACAACTGTGTTTGTATGATTGGCATTTGTTTATAATAGATTGGTCGTAAGTGCGAGAAAGTCTCAAATCGATACTGTCTTTACAGATGACTTTAATTATCTTAATGTTATAAAAGTAATTATTGGTTCTTTATTGGAGATAATAGAGTTGATATTTCCCAGTCAAATAATGAAAGCAATTGATTAATTTTTGTATACTTTGAGATGAAATACCATAATTTTAAAAAGGGCAGAAAGCAGTATTTGGAGGAGGATTTCAATTTAGCTCGGCCTGGAAATGTCCTCGTAAGTATCTCTCTCAACCATGTCGTTCCTTAAATTAGGATGTGGCTCTTAGAAGAGAAATGGCACTAGTGTACTAGACAGATCCACCTCCAGACAGTGTAACTTGGAACCTTCCAGGAACATAGTCTGGTTATTTTTACTCCTCTTCCCCATTCGGTCTTAAAAGATCGGATGAGTTAATGAGGGTAAGGTGGACGAGTGCCATGGGAAGCGATCATTAGATGTGTGTTTCATAGGCCCGACTAGAGGGGCTTTGGGAAGTCCTGTAAGAAGCTGGCAAATAAGCCTGGATGTTGGGTGTTTTGGCCCCTCCCTGTGCTTAGAACAGCGAAGAACTGCTGATCACTGCTTTCCTCCGTTCACCTGCCTTCCTCGCCTCCACCAGAGCTTTTCTAGCTGTGTCTCGTGTAAGTTTTCTCGAGGTGATGATATGCATCCAGGAACACAGAAAATGAGTCACGATGATCGTTTTATTATTATTATTTTGTTATTTTTAGACTTAACAATAGTAACAAAATTTTTGTAACTCATGGTAGCGTTTTTAATGTTTTTTCTATGTTCTGGAATATGTTAATAACCAGTTGGTATTTAAGAGAGCAAAGGCCCTCTCTTGCTTCCACTCAGTGAGGAAAGCTGGTATGGAAAAGACAAGATTTTAGGAGGTTGTGTATCTACTTACAGAATTCATCATGAAAAGGTGTCCAGACCAAATATTGGAAAATCTTATGTTTTATGATTTAATATCCCCTGTTGCATTTACCCATGACATTACATTTCAGACTCCTAATAGGTGAATACAGACTTGGAGTATAGGAGTCTTCTCCCTGAAAAAGTCTGTCGTGGGGGAACTGCCTGTCGCCCAGTCTGGTATTGTTGAGCAGATGTGTAACGTAGACATTTGTGCACCCAGGGCCCGGAGGTGGGCTTCTCCCAGCAACCTCTGCCTTGTTTTTCTTCTCCTGTGTCCCCGTCCTTAAAACATTTAGTGAGAGTGACCCTGGTGGGCATGTTCTGCCTCCGCTCGTGCCGAGGCCATGCCAGAGTGGCCTCTTTGAGGGCTGATTTGGGAGCCTATGACCTGAAGTCCAGCCGTTGAAGCCCTTCGCCAGCCGGTGCCGCGTTGTGCTGCCCTGCCCGGGGCTCAGACGTAGACGGGAGCATTTTAACTCGGTGCCGGTGCTGTGCTGGAATCGGATGTAGCAGCGGACTCCGTCATGAGGGGAACCGCATCTCCCGAGTCTCCGTATTTGGGTGTCCTGGGTTGTGAAAAGCTCTAAAATATGGTACAGCAGGTGGAGGGGGGTAAGAGAAGGAATCAGGGGAGAGGAAGGGACGGGTTGTCTGTGAGTGACTCTGCTGACCTGTCATGTGGCACCAGTTTCATTTTACCAGCTTTAATTTGAATTAGACATTTTGCTCAGCAAAGCAATAAAATGGGAACATTATTCTTAGAGCGCCCGTGTTGCCCAGAAAGCAGAGTCATTTGTCTTCTCCATCTGTCCACAGCCAAATGAGGATTCTTTTTGGATCAGTAATAACTGCCGTTCCTGAAGCTTCAGCATGCTCCAGCGCCTGAATTAGACGAGGGGTGTAAACGTCAGTTACTGTTAGCCGAGATTAATATGTTTCAGGTCGTCGGTACGGCATTAATGTAACTATGATTTACTGTGTAAGTACTTCGGGCTAAAACAACTTACTAAGGAACAGTAATTTTGAGCTTTATAGCGCTGGTTCTGAGAAGTAAAGTTGGTAGTGCGTTCTTGTTGGGAGCCCTCAGGAGGTTTCTGATTTTCAGCAGAACATTCTGTTTCTTTCACCAAAAGGAGAGTTTGAATATGTAATCTCAGGTTTGCTATAATTAGTTCTGATGACAGAGTTAAAGACCTTGGCCAAAACTGTAAATCACCAGCTAAACAGGTTTCTGCAACTGATCATAAATCTCAAACTCCATATTTTAAGCCCACTTGTTTTTTAGAGAGACAGTTAAGGGAGGGGCAGGCCAGGGGTGGGAATAAAACATTACCTGAACTTTGAGTAATAGGCTAGAACCTCACATTTAAAATCTACTGATTTCCCTGATACCTTTGGTCCAAAATGTTCTCTTTTCAGTATTTTAATAACATAGATTCTTGTTTACTCTAAGACACGTTTGAATTTAATTTTTAAAATATGAAGGTTAATCTTCAAACTGCCCAAATTTCCATTTGTTAGGCAAAGGTACCACTGTTTTAGAAATGTTACGTCCCGCTAACCTATAAAAAAGTACTATATGGGGTTAATATTTGAATAAGATGCCAATGGTGTGTGTTTTTTTTATGAGATAAGGTTTGGGGGAGGCAAGGTAATGTTATGTCAGACCCCATTTTGGAAAATTAACTTCATGAAACCCAGTAGTCAAATTCACAACCAAATGAAACAATTCAAGGTTTTCCATGTTGGCAGAAGTTGCTTTTATTTTTAGTATCTGGCAGAGCAACAAATGCTTTGCATGTCAATTTAATATTTTTTCAAGCCAACTGTTTATTCATTGGCTTAAAATTTACACTCTGCTAAAAGTCTTAGTCCTGACTTTCATGAAACAAATAGTAATATTTGGACTAAATATGTACACGAAAATTTTTCCAAAACCAAATGTAGATTGGTATTTGTGGCATCAGCGCCTTTTACCATGGTAATGGATCTGAAAGTACTTTGAAAGTCTAAAAAGCATTAGAAACCCAGGACAGTGAATTTCAGGGAATTAATTTTTATTATGAAGTAATCAGAGCATCTTTCTAGGTTTTCAGATTTAAATTAGTGAGAGGCTTTCTGCTAGAAAGTGGAATATATGTTAGAGTAAATTTTAATGAACTATCAAAAGATTGCTTTATCAGCATATATCTATTCATGACCTGTGTAGCATACTGGACAATAAGACCCATTTTCCATTTTTGAGGGTGGGATGCTCTCTATAGAGTCTGATAAAATGAGCAGAACTGCATTCTTTAGTCTTTATTATTTTACCCTCCTTGCATCCTGCTCACCTTGAAAGAAACACGCTCACCCGCCCACACTCTCCGTGTTGAGCTGTCCGCAGCACCCAGACTCCGTGGGGAAAGGATTCGTGACTCTTGTCGAGAACATGGCAGTCAGCATGTAGCCACTGGAGATGCCCATGGAGAGACCGAGAAAGGAGCCTCCAAACCGTTGTGCGCTCGTGTTAACATGGCTTCTTCAACAGTTTGTCCTTCTCCTAAGTAGAAGGAGATAAGTGTGCATTTTGCTAGCATTTCTTCAAATACACTGGTGCCGTCAGTGTAGCTTCCTGCCACCCTGGCCTCTGTGACCTTGATCCCCGGAACACAGCTACAGGCTTTCGGGAAGACTCTCCGTTAAATGCCGTGCGTTCTGCTATGTTCTTAGATGTGCTTGTAAAATCAAGAATTAGATTGAGGGATACTTCTCTTTTTATTAGTCTTAGTAAGCGCTTTTTAGATTTAAGTAGAAAAGACATAAACATGTTCCTTAGAGAGATGACATTTTTAAAACCTTGAATTTAGGTACCTGCCTCATATCCAGTACAGGTTTCTTAGGCACAGAATAAAAGGGAATGGCAGGAGAGCAGAGGGCAGTGCCCGAGAAAAGCCTTGGCTCCTGGGCACTCCTGTGCCAGGTTTCCGTTTGTGCCTCCCCACTGGCATTGCTCTGGAAGCCCCGGCCCGTACTTCCCCAGGGGCCGTGGGCGGCCTCCGGCTGCATGGCTGCAGAGCGCCTGCGGTGTGACAGGATTGCAGTGAGGTCATCTTCTCCCACCTCTAATTTCTGAAGGTGTGTCTGTCCAGTTATTACTTGTTCATTGGACTTAAAGGTTTAGAAACCAACAGCCACGGTACAAGCTGTAATTATTGATGTCTGTTTCATATTCATCTGTAAGTTCTGGCATCTGATCAAGAAGTTAATGTATCACTTCATCTTCAGGCTGAATGTGCCTCAGCTATAAACATTTTATTGTTTGATGGATAGTGTATAATTATGAGTACCCAGAATAAAAACTTTTCATTTATAATGTAATTCTAGAAGAAGTAATTATGAATGTCACAGGAGTAGGGAAACAATGAAGCCTTGCACTGCGGTTGAATTCCTCCCTACATAGTATCTAAGAAACATTTACTGAACGCCTACTGTATGCCAGATAGTACGCTACTTCTTGTGGTTGCAAAGAGGAATAATCACAGCATGATGGGAAATATTTGTAACCCATGTTTTAGACAACTTGAGTTTTACCTACCTGTGACTTCTTTGCCAAATACAAAGGAATAACCTACATGTAATAGGCCCTGAACTTAAAAAATTTAGTCCCACGGTTGGGTATGCTTTGTCTCTAGGAAGAAATTTCCTAGATGGACAGCTAGCTACAGTCTCTCGCCAGCCTGGTGACTGATCCACACGTGTGCACCACACAGTGAGTGGTATTGACACCTGACCTACACTTTATTTCCTAGACTCGCTACAAAGGTGGCGGTCATTGACGGAGTCAAGTTCAAGAATGAATGCAACTGTTTTTGCACAATACTTGGTCATTCTAAGCTTTATGTTTCTCTTAAACTGCATCAACATGTCCTTTCTGTTAGAATGCCTGTGCCCTAGTGTCTGCCCACGTCAGGGTGAGGATTACTCCTGCAACAAATAAGCCCCCCAAATACGACTCAGCACGATAGGGGTTTATTTCTTGCTTGTGGGACAAAGGAGGATGTTCTGTCCGTGGGGCCTCTGCCCCATGTAGTCCTCGAGAGACCCAGGCCTACGGCAGTTCTGTCCCCTTCCTGACCTGGTAACCCTGGTGTCGGCACCTCAGTGAGCTGGAAGGGAGACGAGCGTGAGAGAGCGAGCGCTCGTGGGAAGTTTGGGGCCCGGCCTTGAAGCGAAACACATCATTTCTCGCTTTGCCCTGGCTACAGCTTCATTATGTCACCACACCTAACTGCAAGGGAGGCTGTGACACGTAGACTGCGGTTTCTCAAGAAGAGGAAACATATTTTAGTAAATACTCAGCAGCGTCTGCCACGTTGCCTTGGTCACATGTGACCCTGACTTGGAGTGGTAGCTAAGTTCTGCCGAGGCCTGATGTTGAATAGCACCAGCTGCTCTTTGTGATTTGATGGAGGCATTTTTCCTCGCATGTGTTGACAGAGCTGATCAAAATAGCCACTCGGTTACCAGGTAATATGCGTGGCAGAGGTCCCAAGGATCTACCATGATGTGTACGTGCCGAAATAGAATTATATGCTCAGCAAGGCTCAAAGGATGTAGTTGGCCCCTGTGGAAAGTCCGTCGAGGCTTCGTGGCCAAGGCAATTATGTGTGGCGGAAGTCGTAAAAAGTAATTGGGACCTTACCCAGGAGACACAGTGGAGGCACGAGCGTCCCAGGCAGGAGGGGCTATGTGAGGGCTCCGCGGGAAGTGTAGCCGTGGGGGAGCATGGAGTTGGAAGGTCAAGCAGCTGAGCGACGACACTAGAGAGCGTGGCTGGGACCCACTTGCCCAGCTTGTGAGACACCCTAGAAAGTTTGGACTGAGTCTCAGGAGTGAGGGGACATGGGCACACATTAAGTGAGCAAGAAATGTGCCAGCTCACATATGAGGAAACGGGTTGGAAGGTAAAACAAGATAGGCTGGTTAGACTGTCTCCGTAGCCTGGGGAAGAAGCAAGAAGCTAAACCAGGGCTGTGGGAATGCAGAGGGTGAATCCTGGAGCTGTTCAGGCAGCAGACTTGACAGTACGCGGTGACTGCATGGGGTAGGAGGGACGTGGGGAGGGGTGGGTGCCTCCGGATGGCAGTGTGGAGTGAGGAAGTAATGTAGGTCCTTTTAGCAATTTATTCCTTTTAGTCCAAATCTGACATCTAGTAGTAAGTCACCTTCAGCGATGTGGATGGTGGAGTTTCACTGTGTCAAGGTACCTGTGGATGCCTTTGAGCCATCAGCGAGGTAACTGGGGGGACAGCTTTTAGACTCAGCATCAGAGGGCCCCGGGTTTCTTGGCCAAATCCAAGATCAAGGCATGATCACAATAGATGGCGACTTTGCTCTGGTTTCCTAGAAGTGATGTCTCTAATGTTTTATGGAAATTCTTTTTAAAGGTGTGTGCTTCCGGAAAGCCGGTAAGGAAGGGAGTGAAGCTGACATGGAAGGGAAAGTGCCAGTAGAGCCTTGGCTCTGTGAACTTCCCCCACCCCGCCCTTGCAGCAAAGGAGCTGGCCTCTCCCGCCCTCATGTCCGTCAATCAGACGGCCTCCCTCAGTGATGGGCAGTTCTCCAGAAAGGGGGCCCTGTTAGCAGCCTAAATAGAAGCTGGGGGTGGATACACGGCCCCAGTGAAGGGGAGATACAAGGAGTGGGAATATGTGTGTGGGTATGTGCCCAGACAATCTGGGCGTGGCTTTCGGCCCAGGTCTATGCAAGGGAGACTATTTGG